GAGAGAATCATAATCTCCGACCTCAAAAACCCTTTCAATCCAGATACCAATTTCGAATAGATGCGGATCATAATAATTAGAAAACTCGTTCGCCATATTGGATCCGCCATCTTGAGTTTACCAATTTCGACGAAAGAATCATAATCTCCGACCTCAAAAACCCTTTCAATCCAGCAGGGAGATCCTGCTAATTATTCAACGATTGTTAGCTTTGATATGGCTTTGATAATTGGTACCCCTTCATTCCCCTCTATCATAGATTGTTGACAATTGATATTATTAACAATATCGGTATCGTGTTGAACTTTTTATCAATTTTGATTGATAAGAATGTTGATAAATCACCAATGTTCATGAACCTGTCGATAGCAAATGTAACAATCGTTAAATATAACCAACATAACCTAACTACTCAAAAACCGTGACAAAAACTATATCATGCAAAAACTTTACTAATGGTAGAATGGTAGAGAATTTTGTTCCGAGCAGATATGTGCCAATTTGAGAAAGGTGATAAGAAGGTATAAAAGCTGAGTAGTGGAATTTCTTCAATTTTGTGATATAGGTATATATATATGTTTTTGTACCAAGTCGAGATCCGAATAAATTATGGACTACCCGAGATCCACCACAACAGAAGGACTTCCTTGAGTATGTATTTCACAAATAGTTGCCAAACATCCTCTTCAAACCAAAACCCTAGAGAGGGGAAGAGATTTTTCAATTTGAATTTTTGTGATACTATTGAAACAATGAGAGATCCGATACAAATACATGCAAGTTGAGATCCGGGAATGTATATTTTGATATTTAAAACACAAGATGAGATCCTGCAATGTTGTCATATCTGATGTTCGAGGAATGGACACGAACATCTATATTTCTGAATCTATTTTATATTTCCATCACGCACACATGATGAAATTTCATCATTTCTATAGCAAAACAAATATTTTTGAAAATGATGGCGGTGTGATGCGGCACCCTATTGCTGACAATGAACTAAAATCACATGTAGGGATGATCGACAGCTTTTTCGGAAGTATTTCTGTATAGAAAAAGCCTGTTCGATAGTATTCAACCAGAAAATCAATACATATAGTGGCACATCATTTAATGAAAGATCTTTCACTTCCAAGCATTCAGACCAATCAAATTGTTCAATCTGATTTTGAGGAGATTTTAATATTTTTCATCTCTTGGAGCGCACGAAAAAAATCCCTATTATGTTCGAGGACCATCGTGTGAACTCAGGGAGAATTGAGGGAGAAGGTAGATATTGAAATTTTCTTTGAACCTCTGAGGATAATAAGTTCTTGAGAATATACTTCTTGTTGTGAAGAATTCGAAAGACTTGCCATTCTATTGACAAACGAGTTCCGATTAAGAATTGTTCGGTATATTTCGAGGATAACGACAAAAAATGTGCTAATTGAGCTCATCGAGTACGTCTAACTGGTTCTGCAAGTGAAAGATATTTCTGAAGAACATTTTCCGTGAAAGAATCATTAGAGAAGTGTAAGGTTACCGACTTCCTTATGGTGTTACGATAGTGTCAAAGAATCAGTGAGTGTGGCATCACCCACCAGACGGATGACTGGTCTCTGCATGGAAGATGAATCTAACTGTATCAGCATATGTTAAGGTGCTGAATTTCATGTGTGAAAAACATATTTCTGGAACGGGTCGTATCTGTGCTTTGTAGATCATCAGAAGCTGTCATGGTGTGGAGTTGAATTTCCTAATTTTGATGAAAAAACCATAATCTCCGACCCCAAGAACCCTCTTATACCAATTTTGAATAGAATCGGATCGTAATTGAAAAACTCGTTCGCCATATCGTATCCGCTTTCCCGTATCTTCTGATTTCAATGACGGAATCATAATCTCCGACCCCGAACATCCCCAGATACCAATTTTGGATAGAATCGGATCATGATAACAAACCTCGTCTGCCATATTGAATCTGCATTCTTGAATTCCCCGATTTTCATGGAATAGTCGAAATTTCCAACTCCGAAAACTCTCACATACACATTTTGAATAGAATCGGATCATAATTATCACAGAACTCGTCCGCCATATTGGATCCGTCATCTTGAATTCCCCAATTTCCACGAAATAATCGTGATTTCTGACTCCAAAAACTCACACATACACAATTTGAATAGAATCGGATCATAATCACAAAACTCGTCCGCCAAATTGGATCCGCAATCTTGAATTTCCTAATTTCGACCAAGAAATTCATAATCTTCGACCCTGACAACCCCCATATACCAATTTTGATTCGTCTGCCATATTGGATCTGCCATTTTGAATTACATAATTTTCACAGAATAATCTTCATCACTGACTCCAAAAACTCCCACATACAAAATTTTGATAGAATCGGATTATAACTACAGAACTAGTCCGCCATATTGGATCCGCCATCTTGAATTCCCTAATTTCGACCAAGGATCAATAATTTCCGACCCCAAAAACCCCCAGATCACAATTTTGAATCGTATTGGATCATAATTACAAAACTCGTCCTTCATATTGGATTCGCCATCTCGTATTTTCAAATTTCTACGAGGGAATCATAATCTTCGACCCTGAATACCCCCAATTTTGAATAGAATCGGAACATAATTACAAATCTTGTCCGCCATATTGGATGTGACATCTTGAAGCACCCGAATTTTACGGAATAATCGTAATATTCGGCTCCGAAAACTCCCACACACAACTCGTGAATTGAATCGGATCATGATCACAAAAATCGTCCGCCATCTTGAATTTCCTAATATTGACGAAGGAATCATAATTTCCAATCCAGAAAACCCCCTGATTCCAATTTTGAATCGTATCAGATCATCATTACGAAACTCGTCCGCCATATTGAATCCGCCATCTTGATTTCGACAAAGAAATCATAATCTCCGACCCCGAAAACCACCAAAAACCAATTTTCAATAGAATCGGATCATGGTACAACACTCGTCCGCTATATTGGATCCGCGATCTTGAATTTCCTAATTTTGACGAAGGAATCATCATCTCCGACCCCAAAATCCCCAGATACCAATTTTGAATAGAATCGAATCATAATGACAAAACTCGTCCGCCATATTGGATCCGCCATTTTCAATTTCCCAAATAAAAAAATAGTTATTTTACTATCGTGCGCAGAAGTCATATTTTCCGCACGCATATTAGTGCTGTCAGAGTCACTTCTCCGCAATAGTGATGAAAAAACTCTCTGTGTTCAATGAATCAATAATGGGATACTTTGTATGTTATCAATTTTATTTCCGTATCGGATATCACAATGACTTCATTGTGTTATTATTTCAAAAAAATCTCATTCATGGCAAGTCAAAGTTCAAATAATGACAGTTCTGTCAGATAGATGAGCATTACTTATGAAAAAATCAGATGGCTACAAACGAAGAAATCCAAAATTTTTCTCTGTTATCTGTTACAGCCGTAGAAAAATTATGATGTATAACTCACACGGAATGCTAATTTCCCACTCGAATGATTTCAGCATTCACCTAATGCTCATGCTTCCAACTTCATTCTCGTGGGAAATCACGATCATTCCGTGCTCGTTAAACAATATACTATTTTCTACGGCTATGACATAAAATTACTCTTGTTTAACTGTGTTCGATAAATCAATGAGGTATTTTGTATGTCATCAATTTTATTTCCGTATCGGATATCACAATGACTTCATTGTGTTATTATTTCAAAAAAATCTCATCTCCCACGGCAAGTCAAAGTGCGAGCAATGCTTGTTATGTCAGATAGATGAGCATTACTAATGAAAAAATCAGATGGCTTTACAAGCCGAAGAATGAAAAAATTTCGCTGTTTTCTGTTACAGCCGTAGTAAAAGTATTGTGTATAACTCGAACGGAATGCTATAATTTCCCACATGAATGATTGCAGCATTCGCCTAAGGCTCATACTGCAAACTTAATTCTTGTGGAAAATCATTATCATTCCGTGCTCGTTAAACAATATACTATTTTCCACGGCAATAACACAAGATTAATCTTGTCTCATTGTGTTCGATACATTTCTGAGGTACTTTGTATGTCATCAATTTTATTTCCGTATCTGATATCACAATGACTCCATTGTGATATTATTTCAAAAAAATCTCATCGCCCATGGAATGTAAAATCACAAGCAATGCGACAGCATTACTTGAGAGAAAATCAGATGACTACAAGACGAAGAAATCAAGAATGTCGCTGTTGCCTGTTACAGCCGTGGAAAAATTATAGTGTAAAACTCGCACGGAATGCTGATTTCCCCCTCGAATGATTGCAGAATTCGCCTAAGGCTCATGCTGCAAACTTCATTCTCGTAAGAAATGACGATATTCCGTGATCGTTAAACAATATACTGTACCCTTCAACTTTTACAACCAAGTTGTAATCGAAAGACGAAGAGCTCAATAAATAATATATTGCCTCCGATGTACTCGTACGAGATTATCATCATATGATTGAGTTTGCCGCCGAAATAGACTAACAAAATGAAGCTCAAATTCATAACACAACACTGACTTAGTTGAGAGATCTCTGATGCGACGTTGCCAAATATACTGGATCTCAGATTGTCGAGTAAATATCATATTCAAGGCTCACAGCGCAGCGCCCCCTTCAGAGCGCTAGATAGAACTACGAGTGTATAAAAATTGACAAAAATGGTCAAATGGAGATCCGGACTAAAATTTGTGCACCCCTTCTCCTGACCTAGGATAACGTAACTAAGATGATATACACATAGAAACAAGTCGAGATCCGTTTCGGATCTCGGATTGTCGAAACGGATCTGCACTTGTTCACCATATATCACCAAATGATCTCGTCTTGTATCGAAAACATATCTATACATAGGTACGTACATACAAAATGGATCAATTTCTCATGAAATTTCTATTTATTTCAACAATACTCTCGATTTCAGGACATAAAGAATTAAGGCACTAAATACAGATGGAAAAATCCAGAAGTTTTCGTGTTCGACCTGAACACAAGGAAGTCATACTGGAAGAAGCAGAGAAGAATTTCGTACTCATTACCAAGAACTTCTCAAAAGCAAATGCCAGGGCACATTATAACAAGAGTTGGAGCCTTCTAACTGCTCGGCTGAATTCACTAGGCTATGGTGATAAATCTGAAGATAAATGGCGAAGGGTGAGATGTTCCATTATTATTTATTCATGAGTGTAAATATTAATCAACATTTTTCCAGTTGTTTGTTGATTGGATATCACTAACAAAATCAAAATATACTGAAATTAAAAAGGATAGAGAAAAAACAGGAGGAGGTCCACCCAACAATATTCAACTGAATCCCCAAGAAGAAAGATTGATGGCAATGAAAGGGTATAGTAGTGTTGAAGGTGATGGCACAACAACAAAAATTGGTTTATTATACCAACAATATCAACTATCTCAGAAAATCCTACTATTTGTGAAACTGATAGTATGCCAGAAGACATGCAATCAACAAGTCATACAAATATACATAATGATTCTATTGATCAAGAAGATATTATTATCTCGGTCGAAAACATGGAACCAGTTTAACCAAAAAAAAAACGCCACAAACTTGATAATACTTCTTCAAGAAAATCTATAGAAGTAATTCATGAAGAAACATTAATGGAACTAAAAGATATTGAAATGAGCTTGAGAATTATTGCAGATTCTCTCAAATCTGTTAGTGAATCTCTGAAATTCCTATATTCTACTGAAGTCTAGTTCTAAAATACTTACTATATCATACATGGTATTACGTTTGTTTGGTTTGTTAAAATTCAATTTTTACCATTTCATAAAAGGTAGAGATATATGTTGTTTATTTTTTCATGAAGCATTGCCTGAGTAGGTATAGTAGGTATAATGATGATTATTATGTTGTGCTGTGAATTAGTTTTGTTTTTGTTCTTGGTAGATTCATTTAACCTTGTTGATAAATTGAATGTTTAGTTAAATTCAATTTTAGTCGTTTTAGGAGAAAGGTTGAGATATGTAGGTACCTATGTTGTTTATGATTTTATCGAGGTTTTTATAAAGTATTGCCTGAGTAGGTATTATTACTTCTATGTGATTATGTTATGCTGTGAATTAGTTTTTGTTTCCTTCCATTGATTTTGTTAAGTTCATTTAAACTTGCTGATAAAATCAATGTTATTTGAAATAACTGTAGTTCTGCAAATATTTATTGATTAATATACTTTTTTTCTCACATTAAGTCTTTTCCTATAATTTTTCGATTAACCCCAATTGCATACTAACATTTTAGAAAAATACCTGTTCTATAACATAGCAGGACTATAGCAGTTGATATATGCCATCAAACAATTATTGAATCTGAATTAATTGAATCAGGATTAACCAATTCAATCATTATTGAGTGAAGATATCAACATTCCATTATGAAAAACACCAAGAGGAAGAACATATATTTTATTTTCAAAATATTCAAACTCATGCAGAATAGTTCTGTACAACAAAATTTCTTCTGATGACTCCCATGTTATGTGCTGGTGGTGGTTGTATAAGAGGAACATTATCCATATCATTGACAGCTTGAATTTCAATAATTTCATCTGGTTCCACAGAAACACACATATTGTGTAATACTACACAAGCATTGACGATAGTTCCAACCTTTCTAGGACTGTACCTGAGAACACGTTCCCCATTTATACAACGGGACCTCATTTTCAAAACCCCAATACACCTTTCTACACAACATCGTGCTCGACGTTGTGCCTGATTGAATCTTGCTTCAGGACTTTCTGGTATTGTTACCAAGAATGGAGTCATCAACCAAGGTTGTTGAGCATAGCCAGAATCTCCAATCAACCATGTTGCATTGTCTCCATGATTATAGTTTCTCTCCATTTCATCTTTGATTCCTGAATTATTCCAGATGAAGGAGTCATGGGTTGAACCAGCATGTCTGGCATTCACAGAAAGAAAAAATTGTGATGAATTCATTCAAAGAATCAAGATAATCCTACTTGCAATTTGCACGTTTTTAGAATGTCTCCATTTTCTATTCACATAATTGTATTCTTCAGCCATTGGTTTCAAGATATACACATGTGTACCATCTATGGCACCAATTGTACCAGGAAATCCAGTAGCTTCCATGAATCTGGTCTAATTATTATTTTTATCGAAAACGGTTGTTGGGAAATGGATCCAAATGGGCTCCAAGATATTACTAACTGCTTCGCTTATTTCATGAATACATCGACCAATAGCTTGTTGACTCATGGATAATGAATAATCTTGGCCCGCTCTCCTTTGGTGTAAGATCCTGTTGCCAAAAATACCAAGGCAGCAAATATCTTATGAAAGACAGATATTCCATCATTTCTTCTACGTTCATTTAGATGTGGTCCAATACTTTCTATTAAATAATGTGCTAACTCTTTATTGAGTCTGAATAATTCTTTGAAACGGACAACTGGCAAGGAAAAGGGATCACTTTCATCCCTCATTATTCGTCGTGATATTCGATGTCTGCGGTTGGTCTCAATTTGAAGCTGCCTAATATTGACAACGAATATAATTCAACGGGGCGCATCTACTTCAATAACTAATTATCGAAGGCAGAGGAAGTTGAAAAAAACCGAAAAACGATCAAAATCATAAAATCTTGTAACGATAAATCTGACCTAATCTTTTTGTTCACTCTGTATTAGTGAAAAAGAGATATTAACGTAATTTCTAGACTAGCGGAATTTATAATACTGTCAGACATATTGCGCGATCTCCAGAAATAATTTTTAATCATCAACGAAACAATAATTGCTGCTACAGAATTCCAAACAGATTCCTCGTATCCATTATCAGGAAATTTGCAAGAATGTCGATATGGGTTTACAGTGAACTATTTACCTCTCGTTATCTATTGACCACGGGTCGGCGCTAGGCACCTGAAGATCGTGACAGAAATTAATTTGTACTGACCAACACCTGTTGCCGTGTTTCACGGCTTTTCGCGTTAAGCCACGTAAAACTGATAATAACCGATATGCTAATCACAGTGGTCAGCAGACATGCTGAAATGGGATAAATGTGACAACCACGGTATACTGATTTCTCGGTGGGAAATTCGTGAATGAAGATCGAGTTGATGTGAAAAGAGAGGTGATGAAAAGTTTTCGAAAAGACTAGCATGTACGCTCAAAAATTGCTGTAATTTACCAAGTGAAAAGGCTATTCAGACATTTGAAGGTATGTTATTTTTATTGCTGTTGGTTTCGGGCTCAAGTGATGATCCCTTTGATATAAGTTTCATGAAGGTAAACGAAGTATTGAGTCGAATTCTTGTCGTAGATTTGCCGGCCGTTCGCTGTGTGATAACAGCCATTTTGGAGAGCAGACTATAAAGCAATCATTATATTCACCCCCTCAAATCTGCAATGTGGAAGCTGAAACCCTAACAATATTGGTAGTTTTTCGAGAGTCACTTTAGAAATACTCAGAGAACTCATCTGATACCTACTGTAAATGAACCCTTTGGGAGGTGTCAATCCCCGACGTCTCTAGAGTCTAGCCGCTCACCACGATAGTTCCTGTAGGAAGAAACTCACGAGAGAACACCAACGGAAATGTCAGGTCAGATCCATCTAATTTCCCATTTCATGAGCGTCTGAAAGTTATGCAAGTCGGTTGGTTGTCTGTGGTTGTCAACGCCAAGTGGCCACCCATAAGCTTCTTTGTTTTTTGGAAGATACTATTCAAATTTATTAATTTTTGTGATTTATATATTTATGTGCGCCTAAGGTAACGTTACTGCAGGTTGATTGAAGTCTGATAAATCATTATATGGAGCACAATATACTTCCGTCGAAACCCCAAGTGATTGCAGATTTTATTTTTTTATTTCTCAGTTCAACAGCATCAAACTGAGTGGCGCCTATAAAAAGAAGGTACATACTGTGTTGGAAGAAAATTGTATAAAACTTGTTAATCCTTACCTACGACCCTGCCACCAGACAATGAGCACTAGGGCGATAGTAACCTCAAATTAAAAGGGAAAATAAGGTTACATGAGTAGCGCTGCAACGTGGGGCCTGATCAAAAATATATAAATTTTTGGCTTGCATGACTTTCGATATTATCAAATATATTTGATTATTAGTTCCACAGTTTTCAATTTATAAAAATTGCTGGTGTAATTCGCGTCAATTTGGACACATGCACCTGTTTTTTTCTACATATGGGTTTTCTTTATCTCTTCCAATGTGGCCTACTTTTTTATATTTATTGAAATAAACCAAAATTGCATAAAAATATAAGACACATTTGCGAACGGCAGCTTTTCGCCAGAGAACAGATAAGTGAATTGTGATTGCAGATAGTTAAATTTCAAGTTTAGAGGGCGCCACTCAATTTACAAAACAATTACTGATACTTGGATAATTGAGAAAACCAATTAGTTGGATACTTACAGTATTTTCCAAAACTTAATCCTGAAATAGAAATATGAAAAAATCTTCTTGAATGGCAGCGTCAACACAAATAGATGAATAAAACCATATCAAATTTCAGACCTATTTATTATCACCATAACAGACAGGGTTTATGCAGACCAGTGTAGAGACCAAATGAGTGTCAGAATATGTAGCATATGTTATCATGAAATATCTTAAAGTAATATGACCGTAAAATATCATAACCATAAATTGTCATAACCATGAAATGATTGTTTCTAGGGGAATTCAAAATTATTGTACAAAATCATGATAAGTTTTTATCAACCTACACCATGACAATTACCACCTCTTTATATGACTAGTGTTTGGGTATAGCAATCATCATATTCCAACTATAAAACGGGATGTATAAATCTCAAAAAATTTGATTAGACAATAATCTGTAAAAAACCTGAAACCGCTGTCACATAGTACTATGGGAGAGCTTCACAAGAGCTTCATACATGTTAGATATGGTTATGATCAAAATGTTGAAATATTAAATTCAGATTTTAAAAAAATGATGGAATAAAAAAAACCTGGTCTATTGGAGGGTCCTCTCCAATGGTCTAATCACCCCTATCCAAGGTCCACTATGGTGAGTAGGCATGCTCGTGAAGATGAAGATGAAGACAGGAACGAAGACAGGAACAAAAAGAAGTTGATGGACCTCCACAGTCCACAGTAGGGCTCAGTGGTGTGGCTCAGCCGGTCAGCTTGACCGGTTACTACTGGGCTTGATCTGGGCCACCTGTCGACTCTGGTCAGGATAAAATGAGCGACCTGGTCCTCTTGGGAATCATGACCAAGGTCGAGAGATTATCCCCTCAGCTGTTCGCACTAGAAGCCGAAGGCAGCTGAGCCATACCCTAACACCCTGTTAAAAAATTAACAGGTTGATATAACCTCTTGACAGACACGTGGAGAACAGAAAAAAAAACTGATATTGAAGGGAAATATTGCTCACCAAGTTGATAGTCATTGCTCTGCATATGACTTACCTTCTGAGAAGGGAAGAAGGACTTGAAGAACAATTAGTTTGGAGTCTTCATACGCTGAAAAAAACCGGCTGCAGGGCTTCCTGGGGAC